GTCTTAAAAAGGTCTTAAATTTAACTTACTGAAACCTGCAAGAACCCTGTTTACCCTATTTTACTGCCTTTCAATGCAAACATGTATGAGAAGTTTGGTAACTGGTGCTGTATGGAGTCTCTGTGTCTCCCTCCCTCCAAAGGGCAGTGTCCCCCCCGTCATGGCTTTCCATCTGGGCTCCCTGGGTTTCCTCATGCCGTTCAGGTTCGAGTCCTACAAGACGGAGGTGGCCAAGGTATTTGAAGGTACGCCGCTCGCATGCCGGGTGTCTTCCTGGGGTCGTGGTGAGTTTGGCTGCTTAAGCCAACTTTGTACTTCCTGCCCTGGCTGTATCTGCCCACTGAGCAGATCTTTCAGTTTATTTAGTTATTATTTGTCCAGTTTCACTTGGCAATTTATTGCATTCTTTAAAAATAATATACATGTAATGGAAGAAATACAATTTCGTAGACATCTTAGCAGTACATTCTTATCAGTGAATAACAGATTTTTAACATGGCTGTATTCATGTGCATGCATTTGTTTACAAGTGTGCGTGTGTTTGTGACCGTGCAACTGTATGTGTGCATGTGTGTGGTTGCATGCGTGCATGCGGGTGTGTAAATGCATGTTTGCATGTGCGGGTGCATGTCTGTGTGCATGTTTATGCTTATGTGCTCGTGTGTATATGTATGTGTGTGCGTAGGTGTATGAATGCATGTGTGTGTGTGTGTGCAGGGGTATAGATGCATGTGCGAATGTGCGCACGCAGGTGTATGAATGCATTTGCATATGTGTGCGCGCAGGTTTATGGATGCATGTGTGCATGTTTATCCACATGCACGTGTTTGTGAATGTGTTTATGCACACATGTGCTTGTGTGTATGCATGTGTTTGCCTGTGTGCATGAGTGTGTAAGTACGCGTTTCCCTGTGTGCTCACATGTGTGCATGCTTATGCATTTATGTGTTTGCACTTGTGCATTTTTGCATACATGTACGTGTTTGTGTGTCAATGTATGTCTGCATGCCCTCGCAGGGAATGCAGCCATCACCCTGCGCAGCCGTCTGAAAGTGAAGGTGGTGAAGGGCACATCTCAGAAGATGCTTCAGTCCTACATGGCGGAGAACGGCACCTCGTCCTCTAAGGGGAACCCCCGTGCTGGAGAGGACAGTGACGCCGGAAAGGTCACCCTGCAGCTGCAGGTAAGGGTGTCGCCAGTGTTGGCGCATGAGTCATGTTCCTCGCAGTGTAGCAGAATGAGCAAACGCATGTTTGTGCTGGGGGGGGGGCCTCCGCGATCTTATGGGTTGGACCACATGAAAAGAGAAAAAGCAATGTGCAGAGCTATTTCTGCCTTTAATCTCCATAGTGATTGAGGCATGTTTTGTTTGTGTGGAAATTTCACTGAACTTTAACATGGCGTTGTGTCACTGATGCATTGTCGCATTTCAAGGTGACAAAATAAATATAAATATTGATTAATCGAGGTTATTGTCTCAGGAATCTGAACTAATGTATGATGAAGAATGTTTTGTATAGCTATGATATTTTAAAAGTATGCTAATGATCATTTAATATCGTGTAATTTTTCCAGGTTCTGAATGAGGTTGTGGTGGACAGAGGTCCCTCTTCCTACCTCTCCAACGTGGACCTGTATCTCGACGGCAGGCTGATCACCTCAGTGCAGGGAGATGGTATGTCTGTTTGTTACAGGGATGGACATAGCTGGTATGCAAGTACGCATTCACCTTTAATAGCGATACGTGCGGCAATCAATTAATGTAACAGCACGAATGAGTATGTATTTTATGTGCAATGAGGTGCAAATGCACATAAAATACATACACATTTGTGCTGTTACATTAATCGATGGCCGCACGTATCGCTATTAAAGGTGAATGCGTACTGACGTACCCGGTATGTCCACCCCTGCACATACAGCACCTTACTGAAGCACCACCACCACCAAAAAAGACAGCGGCCCTCCTTCCCCCCATACACGCACCCTCACAGTAGCTAAGGTGGTGAAGGGAGAGGAGGGAATTTATGAATTAGGGGATGATTAGGAAGCCTGACTTGACAGGGCCATGATGGGTGGTCAAGCTGGAGACTTCAAACCGGCGCAACAGAGGCTGGATGGTGGCGCAACACACTAAGTCTCCGGCACCTGCGATCCGGAGGTCGCTGGTTCAAGCCAGAGTAATGTCCATCTACTATGCGACGTTATCCGGCAGATCGTTATATGTTGACCCCTTAAGGGATGGTGGCGCAACACACTAAGTCTCTGGCACCTTGCGATCCGGAGGTCGCTGGTTCAAGCCTGACCTCCAGCAAATTATTTGTGCTGGAGACTTAGTGTGTTGCGCCACCATCCGCCAGATCGTTATATGTTGACCCCTAAAGGGTTGGGGGTCGGAGGATGGATGGTGGCGCAACACACTAAGTCTCCGGCACCTTGCGATCCGGAGGATCGCTGGTTCAAGCCGGAGCCACGTCAGTCTACTATGCGACGTTATCCGCCAGATCGTTATATGTTGACCCCTAAAGGGTTGGTGGTCGGAGGATGGATGGTGGCGCAACACACTAAGTCTCCGGCACCTTGCGATCCGGAGGATCGCTGGTTCAAGCCGGAGCCACGTCAGTCTACTATGCGACGTTATCCGCCA